TTGACTTCGCCACTGATGGTAAGTACTTCTTTATTCTTAATCAAAGGCCTCGGGGTTCGAGCTTTGGGCATAGAGTTGCCTTTGTTAAGGAGCATTTACATTTCAATGTGGGACTTTCCGACACAGATCGGAATTTAGTCGATACCGAGTAGAAATCCAAAAAAAATAAATAGAAGAAGGAAAAAACCTTTTTTTTTTTTTTTTTTGAAAGAAGATACAGTAGAAACAGTGATGTCAGATATTGTAATGTAGGAAAGGCCGTACGTGGAGAACTATTGGAGTAAGAGTTTGAAAGTGGAAATAGTAGGCAGCAGTCGTCCTTATATAGTGTCCTCTGCCCCTTTGGTACTGTATTTTACAATCTCAAAATAGAGATGTCCTTTTTGGATAACACAATAATATTCCCCCTATCCTCTATCTTTCGCACGTCCCTAAGGCTAAATGACAAACCCTCTCCTTTTCCCATTTACTATGTCCTGTACCATTCTTGTACTCTAATTATGTATGAAAGCTCCCCCTTTCCTAACCCTATTCTTCTATTCCATACCCTTTTAGAATAAACAATTTTCAAACTCAATAATAATAATCAAAGTAATAATAAATATTTTATTTAAATAGGGACCTCTTGTTTTATGAAATAAAAAATATCACTTGCAAAACCTGTACTCCTATCATATACAAATGTCCCTCTTTTATCAAGGTAACTTTAGCTAGAGGGTTCACATCAATAGTTTGTTTCCCTTACCCAGATTTCAACATTTGTTCACTTAGAAAATCCCATAATAAGGTCAGTCAAAGTTCAAATATAGCCCTCAATCAATCTTTCTCATATTTCCCTTTCGAATAATAAGGAATTCCATCGCTAGCTATAAAAGTACAATTTGAACTACGTGGATGTGTGAATAACAGAAAATGATGGCTTAATGGCAGGCCTATTACATACGCCAAATATCTCTTTGTCATTATATTCTTAACTCATCACTCTATCCATTTTATAAGTCATTATTATCATTTGTTGAATCAAATAATTTTTTTTTTCAGACACTCAAATCAATAATATTTATGTAAAGTAATCTAAGAAATAAAGGAAAAAAATAGTCACAAATTAAACTAAGATTAGTTCATAAAGTGTGTACATTATGTTGACTGTGGCATGTTTCTTTAGGTTGGTCATTTTAGTGGTCATATATAACAAGTTTCATATTGACAGTTACCCTTTCCAGAAGCATTGGTTTTAGGCACTCAATCTATCTGCTCAAAATAGATTGTCAATTGATGGTGGTGAGACTATTTGTGACATAAGAAGGAGTTGTGTCCTTCCAAGCAAGGGCGGATGCACACTTAACACGAAGGCGGTATTACGCCACACCGCTTCGTCGAATTCTTTTATTAAATATATGTATTAATACTGTTAGGAAACAGATAAGTAAGAAAAAATGATCACTTTATATAAATTGTCTATTCGTCTGTTGGTTATGTGATTGATTTTGCTCTAAGAGGTCAAAGGTTCAAACCTCAACTAGCACATATTATTTGCAAATATATTTGAGAGATAAAATGGAATTGAACTCATCATCTTTTCTACTTAAGACTCAACAAAACCAATAGAGTACTAACTATTTCTTGAACATCTATAAAGTTTTTGGCTACAGCTCTAGTCATCGATCTAATTCAATCCTACAGCGAAAACTTGAATCGAGACATTACAGTGTACATACCTATAATCTTATTTTGTTCGAGTTGTTCGTATGGTATTTTACATAATTCTAGATTATGTAAATAAAAAAGTTTGACAAAAAAGATAAAGAAATTAACATCTGAATTCACATCAAATATTAAACCTTTTGTATTTCGTATCAAATTATTTCTTTCTGCGTATCAAATCCATGAGCTGCAATCTGCATATAATATAAAGAATGTGGCTTACAGAAAGGAGATTCTCCTTGATATGGGAATAAATTTATCAAAACCCCATCATTGTCTAGCACTTCATTTCTAACTCCCGAATATCGAATAAATTGGTGCCACGTGTTATTCCCAAGAATTTCCCTTCTTACTCCCCCAGTGCTTGTCAATTGTTCGTAAGACGTCCCACATCTGCTGTAGACATTTTATTCAATTTCTTTTTCTGAATGACCTTTTTCTCAAGTTAGTAAAGGCACCAATGGCAGCATCCTATGTGCCACATGATTAAAAGAGAGAAATTAATTAAGGGGAAATTAAGTTCAACACTTAATTGTTATATATTGGTGTAAGTAAGTGGTAGGGTAATGCACCTATGAAACTTAACCAAAAGGTGGAAACACACACTGAATTTTGGAGAATCTTTTAACAAGAATACAATTATTTTTTAGATCCCCTCATAGGCATCTGCAATCAGCATAAGTGCTTATTTCTTATGTCCAGTGCCTTCTTGTAATAAACAAAAAAAACTGTTCCTCTTTGGATAATCTCTCTTTACCATTCTCGTCTCTTAATTGTATTCTTCTAGAAGATTTTATGCAGATAATTATTGTCACAATATTTAGCTAAAACGGTTGAAAGTTTGATAATTTACTACTCCCAAATTTGTACACTGCCCTTTTT